GCTTCTATTCTCCACGGCCTATCATCCACAAACCGATGGCCAACCAGAGGTGACTAACCGCACGCTCTCCACCCTTCTTCGCGTGCTAATCAAGAAGAACATCAAGGAGTGGGAGGAGTGCTTACCCATCACCGAGTACGCCTACAACCGCGCAAGACATTCGACTACCGGCAAATCCCCCTTCGAGGTTGTCTACGGTTTCAACCCGTTGTCCCCATTGGACATCCTACCTCTAGCACTCCACGAGCGCACAAACATGGACGCGAGTGACCGAGCCAACCACCTCAAGAAGATGCATGAAGATACAAGGCACACCATTGAGCTCCAAGTACAACGACTCGCGACCAAGCTCAACGTCAACAAGAATCACATGATATTCAACATTGGAGATCTTGTGTGGCTACACCTTCGCAAGGAACGGTTCCCCAACGAACGCAAGTCCAAGCTACTACCACGAGCCGATGGACCATTCAAGGTGCTTGCTCGCTACAACAACAACGCATACAAGATCGACATTCCACGTGACAAGTACTCCGTGAGCGACATCTTCAATGTCAAAGATCTCTCCCCGTACCATGGTGATGAGGATTTCAATCAGAGGTCAGATCTTCCCCAAGGGAGGGGAGATGATGTGGAGCATCCCAAGGTCATCCCCATGGACCTACCATCGTCTCATCAAGTGCCTAGTGGACCCATGACTCGATCACGTGCAAGAGCTCTTGAAACCGAGGTGACATCTCTCCTCTCACAATTCCACTTCGATGCACATGAAGCATGGCTACTACCTCATATGGATACTTTGTGCATACGCATGTACCATGGAGAAGCTAAGGAGCAAGGACAAGAAGAAGAGGAAGATGGACGAGGAGATGGAGAAGAAGGAGGGCTGAAGGAAAAGTCCCAGCCACCGGACGACCAGCCGGGACCGGACGTCCGGCGCCTGAAGCATCAGCCGAGCCCCAGCGAGCAGACGTCCGGTCCAGACTGGACGACCGGTGCCCCTGCACCCGAACCAAACGAGCGAACGTCCGGTCCGGACCGGACGACCGGCGCACCTGCATCCGAACCAACATCAGCGGAAGTCCGACGTTTCCGGACGTCCGGCACCCCCATCACAGAGCAGAACCAGCGGACGTCCGGAGGACACCGGACGACCGGCCGCTCCCGAGACACCGGACGACCGGCCACCAGCGGACGTCCAGTACCTGGCTGCGTCCAGATTCGGGCCCGAGGCCCATGTACCCCTACTTTCGCCCCCGTTTGCACTTAGACTATAAGTAGACCTCTCCCACCTCCTTTCTAGGGTTAGCAAATGTTTAGCTCATATTTGTGAGAGAGCTTTGCTCATCCACTTGGTTACCTTCTCCTCGGAGATTCGAGCCTCCACCGGAGAAGATCCCCCAAGCGGATTCAAGCCCCCTTCACGGGAAGATCTCCTTGTGGATTCAAGACCTCCTCACGGAGAAGAACCGGTTACCGTGTATCGTCCTTAGTTGTCCGTTGATTCGTGTATCTCTACCTATGTACTCGAGGATCTAGCCCATGTGTGACTTATTCGTGCCGGTTTAGTGATTTCCTCTTGTGTTTTCCCTCCGTTCTTCCCCGTGTTCTTCGTGATTTCCCCAGGATCCGCTCCTTTCGTGAAAGATCGGGCGATTAGGGTCTCTACCCTACATCAGGGGAGGACGGGACAGGCGCCGGCTTCTGGCGACCTGGAAGGCAGCGGCTAGGCTCCCCTGCTGGCTGGCTCATGGCCAACCGAAAAGCAAATATGGTGGAGGAAGAAGGAGAAAGGAGGCGCTGGAGCTAGGTGTAGGTGTAGGCGCTCGGGAGGCTCGATGGTGGCCTCGATCCAATCCGATCTGGAACGAGAGCCTACGGGGAAGGCCTTGAAGCAGTGGCGACCGTTGAGGGGGGACTGGGAGTGCTGCCCACGGTGGCGGTTCCCCGCTGGACAGGGAGAAGGGGAGAGAAGGAAGAGAGAATCAAGAGTGTGGGGAGAAAAGGCATGTGGGGAGAGACGAGGATGAGGGCGGCTAAGAAGATAATATCGGAGGACAGACAACGAATCATTGTCTACAGCCAGATGCAAATGCAATGGGCACCCGAGCGGGCTGGACACGGGAGAGCACTCACCGAATAGGATTTTTTACATCAATCACCGATCAAATAACAAAGAATTATTCTCCAATTGATAGATACATGCTTCTTTACCCATCAAATCGCTTCATTGTACATGAACAACAGGGAGGAGAGAGAGTTGAGGGAGGAGAGAGACGGGAGAATAAGAGGACCATGGAGAGGGAGGAAGGGAAGGGAGAAGGCATAGAGAAGAGCGATGACGCGAGGTTATAGCGGACAGTTGGGCTCGCTGGCTGGAGCCGAGAGGAAGGCAGCGGAGATGGCATCCCGAGAAAGAGCTTGGTCTCTCCTCGCTTGGGCTCATTACATGCGCGCGTGCGCTAAGAGCTGCGATTGCTGGCTGCAGCGAGCACAGACTCCCTTTTTTTAGAAGGAATGTTTTTTATTTCACCTTTTTAGGGGAAAGCGACCTTTTATTTCACTGCCACGGGCTGGCTATGATTCAGCCACATCCTTTTTTTAGAAGATGATTCAGCCACATCCATTTTACTATTCTCTTTATTGGGTCATTGGCCAGCTTTTGGTACCATAAAAAAATTCTTTATTAATTAGAAGTATCATCTACTCCAAACAAAAATAGTACCACCTTACAAATTTACATATGATCCCATCAATTTATATATGTCCCCAAATAGACAATCAACAAGCCTCTTCAAAAATAAAAAGACCAAAGGTGAGGTGTAGCAATAATCTGGCATATATGCCGATATGGATACTCTCTCGACTTCACAGTGAAGCGAGGATGAGCTTAGAGGTCATGGCAGAAGAGCCAGTGCTTGAATGAACTAGACATATGCAAGTCGGTGGTTGGATTGCTAAAATCTTGAACCACATGTGTTATTTTTTTCCCGTTGCAACGCACGGGCTCTTTTGCTAGTAAAAACAAAAGAGAAAACTAGTTCAGTAACCTTCTAGAAGATTCCCAAAACCGGGCAGGAACCTTCCAGAACGTTTCTGGACCTCTCAGCCAACAAAACAACATTGAAGTCGTGCGCTGGTCCATGTGGACGTGGCAGATGGCTGGCATCAGCGAAAGCACATCTATTTGCCGCTAACGGCTGTCAAATAGGGATTGCTGGTCATGTGGGTCGGTCTCAAACGAGATTTGGGTGAACAGAGCTGGCACTAGGTGACCTGTTTGGGCTAGCCAGGTCAGACCACCTTAGTCTTATGTCTCACAACAGTTGCAATCTCCACCGCACCGGCATTGTCGTGGGACTCAATTTTGCGACGTAGTGTGTCGTATAATTTCCCCAATTGTGTTTATAAAACAACAAGTTTGTCTCAGCACGTACAAAATCACAAGCAAACGGATTGATTTTTTTATTAACCACGTATTAGAAATCTTAACTTTTACACTAGTCAAAATTTGTTAAGCCGTGCATAATTTTAACATCTCATTTGTCTACAAGGTAATGTAAAATAAGAATTTGAGTCGATCCGAAATACTCATTGGACCAACAAGACCACTGACTATTTTTTATATGGATTGACCCGTGGCCTCTCAAATTGTCTATGGGGTCATAGGGGCTGGATCCAAAGCCAGATTTGGGTCGGCCCATTACTATCCTGAGTTTATTTTACCATAAGCACATCTTCAAGATCCATCCATAAAAAAAACATCTTCAAAATCATCTACATTGTACATGGCCTTACACCAGCGTCTGGCCAAGAAAGGAATGTGTTTAGTAAAAAAACTGCTTTTTTCTTTAGCATTAATGCATATTTCTTTGCTCGAGTAAGAACTGGTTTATTTTTCTAAGCAAAAAAAATTCTCAAATAATAAGTGTTACATATGTAGCATGAAGCACTTGGGCCATGACTTTTTTTACAACTAAAGTTGCCTTCCAAAAAAAACCAAAAAAAAAAGCTGAAACTTGCCATTAGAAAAAAAGTTGTCATGCTTACAACTAAAGTTGTCGTCCCCGCTCATCTCCGGATCCTGGTTGTATCCCAAGTATATTTTACTATAAGCACATCTCCAAGATCCATCCCTCAAAAGAAAAACATCCCCAAGATCTCTACGTTGTACATGGTCAGACAGTAGCGTCCGGCCAAGAAAGAGAAGTGCTTAGTAAAAAGAATCTTAAGCATGAGTGCTTATTTCTTTGCTGTAGTAAAAACTGGTTTATTTTTCTAAGAAAAAATTATCAAATACACATACAGCATGATGCACTTCGGCCCTTATGCTTTTTACAACTAAAGTTGTTATCCAAAAAGAAAAAAAACAACCCCAAAAGAAAAGCTGAAACATGCCATCCGAAAAAAAATGCCATGCTTACAACTAAAGTTGTCTTCATTGTATGACTAAACTTGCCATCAATGCCACACGTGTGACACTTATCAAGGTAAAAAAATCATTATACTTGGCCTTATCGCCTTTGTATTCAGCAAGACTGCAACTACTGGAACTATGTTGTCCGATATAACCTCTGTTTCTCAAAACAAAAACAATAAAGCACCAATGATAGGATCAGGAGAAACTTTAGACAGATCTGCATAACTCCAGCAGCGAGAAACACAAAGTTCAGAAAAAGGGGTCACAGATTCCAGAATATCGATTTGGATAATAATTAATCAATCTGTTACACTGTTCCACATTCCATTCAAAATTTGTAATAAAGCTGAAACAACATCTGCTAGTTACAACCGCAATGGGAGAATGCTAGCTCTAATAAATGATCTGAATCTCGTCTCATGATGAACCAATCAACGCATCCTGTTTGTTGGCTGCGGAGCTTCCATGCTTTGGTTTCAGCTGGAAGCACCCTCTGCTTATTCTCAGCAGGCTATCGATGTCTCTATCTCTATCATGCATTCTTCCTTGAACAGTAGTAACTCCAGTTTCCAGTCTCTCATCACTTCTGCTTGTCGGCTCCGGTCCACTTGTCGCCGCTCAAGCTGGGGTCGGTTTGGTAGAAGACGACATCTCCCACGTCGCTGACAAAGTGATCGACTCTCAAGCTCTTGAGGAGGACGGTGATGAGGTGCACTGGGAGCGGGCCTGACTTCTCCGGCTCCCGGTAGTATCTGCCCAGTACTGGCCTTGCTGCCTTGGTCTGGATTTGTTGATAAAAACCAAGGTTAAAGTTGCAATTTTTTTCAGCATGCACAAGTACAATATATGGATGAGGTACATATATATATATTGAGCAGAGTAGTATTGTAACTTACTGCTTCTACTAGGTGGTAGTGAGGTATTTGGGGGAAGAGGTGGTGGATGACATGGGTGCCAATGTCATGGTGGATGTTGTTGATCCATCCATAGTCCCGATCCACAGTCGTCAGGCCACCACGGAGGTAGCTCCATTCCTGCAACAGTCATTGAGGAGCATTGGTTTGTTGGCGACATGAACATTGAATGAAATAGTAATACCATAGCAGTGCAAAACGTATCAATAAGGCAAAAAAACTGTCGCCAGTGAGTTTATTGTGCAGCTAATGTTTTCTTTCAGTGGGTATGTTTACTAAGTAGTAGCTAACATGTTCAGAAACTAGGGTAGTCCTATTTTCCTGCACTGTCATCGACCACGATATACTTGCAATAAATTAATACAGCAGGCAAGTACCTCGCCGCGGTACCATGGGAGGTCCTGGTGACCATGGTGGTGAAGATACGTCACCAAATCAAGCCACATGACATTCACCTGTTTCAAATGACATGAGACATTGCTACTTGAGTTAGTTGTTCAGTGTGAGTTGCTTAGAAGCAAGTCCGACCAACTAAACAGTTAAGAGTTGTAGATTCTGTATGGTTGCTTACAATATATGGAACCCCGTATAGCTTGAGCACAGGTACCAGGCCAAAGACACACGCCATGCCGATGAGCAGCGCAATCATCGTGAACCAGCAGGTGGTGGAGATGATCACATCACGCCTCTCCTTGGGAGTAAACAGATCGCTGCTCGGATTGAAGTGTGAGCCCTCCTTGCCCGGGCTTCTGTACCACTGGAACATCCAGTAATCAAGGGAGATTCAGTTTAGGTTTAAGTTCAGGATGCATACAGATGCAGACCTATACAAGCGACCAGCAGAATAACAAGAAGAGATTCTTACGAGGTAAACAGGGAAAGCCAGCAGTGGGAACGGTACTGAGAAGCGCAGTGTCTTTGTCCGTGGTTCCAATTTCTGGTACACCTTCTCAGTGATCTGCGCAAATCAGTCGCACATCAGCTAGGAGTAACTAAGCAGATGGAACACAAATTACACGAATGAGTATTCAGTTAAGGGTTTCAAAATATGCAATTAGAATTGTGGTTCCAGTCCACACTTGCCCTCGAGGGTGACTGTTTTGTCAGAGTGCAGATGCTCAAATGTGGTTTGATTCCAAAAAGGGCAAGAACGACAATAAGAAAAAAGGACTGGGCATTTTGAGATGCCCTAGCCAAAAAGGCTAAGATTCGATGTGCATCTTTGATCTGTGATGACTAATTTTAATCAGCAGCAGATCTGCGACTGTGAGACAATTTAAATCAATTAAAATTTTGGTTGCAAGTATCTATTGACTTAGAATTTTGGTTGCCACAAACACACACACGCTTTTGTTCTGAAAAAAGGGCAAAGGCCGGCCTACGATGACAAGCAAGATGAAGATGCCATAAAAAGGAATATATGCACCACGAAATGATGTTATTTAGAATGTTAGGTGGCTCGGCCGAGTTAAGATTCGATGCGCATCTTTGTTGATCTCTGCTGATCAACTAGGCATAATCTTTTTTACGTGTACTCTCTTTTCTCTCTCTAAAAAGATCTTAGCTTAGCGGCAGATCTGATCACGTGACAGACATGAATAGATCTACTAGCTGCCGCTGCTAGTTGTGTTTGGCATTATTATCTACGGACGGACCACATCACTTGTTTGTTGGATCTTAAATTATGTGGACTCTTTTGATGCTGCTGCTGCACAACATGTCAACATGTGGTGCCTCTGCAGCGACTGAAAAAGCAGGCAGGTGCATCGCTGCTCTCTTTCTAGTACCACTGCTAGCTATCACCTCCATGATTCATGCAGCAGCCAGATGCGATATTTGCTCAACTTTTGCTCAATTATTATTATGCCAAACTCTATACTTTTACTAGCGAGTGTCACTATAAAATACTCCCTCCATTTCACAATGTAGTGCTTCCTCTATCTTCGTGCTTCAACTTTGACCGTAAATTTAACTATCAAGACCAATTGCGGCGGGGCAAAAATTATATTAGTGAATTCGTATTCGAAAGAAGTTTTCAATTATATAATTTTTTCTTCCGCCGCAGTTGGTCTCGTTGATTAAATTTATGGTCAAAGTTGGATCTCGAGAAGCGCGGGCGTACTATATTTTGGAATGGAGGGAGTAAGGTGGAGGGTTCTCAAGAAAAATATCTGCCCATCGATCGAGCTGCCCTGAGTTTCTTCCTTTTTGCTTTTATGTGAGCAAAGTCCTTTGGGAATTGCAGTGATGGAGACATGCTGGAAAAAATATGTGCATGTAGTAGAGTGCCGTAGTATATGGTAGTGGGCTAGTGGTACTAACCGGGTGCCATGACTCGTCCTTTTCGATGTGGCCATGGTTCTGATGGTGCGTTCTGTGGCTGATCCTCCTGCACACACATAGCAAATCAGATTCAGATCGGCTTCAGAAAAGGTTTGATTAATCTCAGATTGGTACCACTCCATATAAATTACTCCTCCTAAACTAATTATATGTTGCTAAAGAAACTCAGATGCATGCATGATAATGGTATACTACTACTAGTACTCCAGCATTGGTGTGTGGTGTTCGAAGGACCTTGAAGACCGTGCAGCACCGCCAGCTCCTAGTAAACAAACCGTTGTCGGCAGTGATTCAATCAAACTTTTTCGTGTTGCCTTTCTTTAAAGAAAGATGGGTTTTTCCCAAGAGAAATTCTCTGCGGCCGCTTGCATGGGTCAACAGCGGTGGAACAGACATGCCTCACAGGCAACAGTGCTTTGTACGAGTAGTAAAAGTGAAATTGCTACTTCGCAACAGCAAAGTTTGTATTGCCCTTTCCAACTTCTTTCGAGTAACATATTCAGGCGCGGGTTCTCTCCCTCTCGGAGATTTTCTCAACAAAACAAAAGATTGCAAATTGCTTTTCTAGACTGGAAAACCGATAGTCCTACTACTGACTACACATTTGCGACGGAACGAGCAATAATCTGGCCCTGCAAGTAGTACCTCCCTCCTGGTTTACTTAGTAAAATGTAGTATGTACAAAATCGTTACCAGCCATTGTACGGGACGAGGATGAAGGTGTGCAGCAGGTGGCCGACGACGCTGTTGAGCGTGCCGCTGTCCGAGAAGCTCCCGTGACCACTGCAAGCGTAGATAGGTAGATGTATCAGACAGACAGTCGTATGATAGCAGCGCTGCTAGGTAGCACCAAATGTGGCACGCCGGACGCATCGATCTGGGCTGGCGGGAGCGAGAAAGAGGAAACAGCAACGCACCAGTCGTGTCCGAGGACGAAGAGCGCCCAGAACATGGTGCCCTGGACGGCCCAGTAGAGCGGCCAGAGGGCCCAGCTGTCGGCCCGCCACGCGGCGGCGGCGAGCGCCGCGACGACGGCGACGTCGCGGGCGACGTAGGAGAGGGAGCGCAGGGGGCTCTTGCGCCAGCAGTGGGCCGGCACGGCGGCGCGGACGTCGCCGATGCGGAAGGGCGGCGGCTTGGCGGCGTCGAACTCGGAGCGGTGGTCCTCGGTGGCCTTGCAGCTCGCCTCCTGCTCCGGCCTCATTGCGGGGGCCATGGCCGCGGGTGGATCTGTGCGTGTCGTGGGGGAGGGGGAGGGAGCGGGGGGCAATGGTATGGGAGGGGAGGAGAGAGAGATTCGGGAGGGGCTTGGCTTGGGTGGCCGGGCAGGGATACGCCTCTCCTCCTCTCGTCTCGTCTCAATGGAGGAGGGGTGCGGGTGGGCCGCTATTTATAAACCCAGATTATAATTGCCTGCCGGTTTGCAGCTACGGGCAAGAGCGCCTGCTAATTTTTTGCTGGTATGCCCTGGTAGGACTGAACTTCAGTGCCGTAACTGTACCTGCAGTTGGGCCAATGACATGTGGGCCTAACAGACGGCTGGCCCACATGCCATTGATCCAACTGTAGGTGCAGTTACGGCACCCAAGCAGCGTCCGCCCTAGTAGTGTACCGTAGTAGTAGTAATAGTCCTTTATGAAAACCGATTGAGTTTGGCCGGTGCACGTGCATCGTGCGAGCTTGCTGTCCATACCATTTCCAGTGGGCCCTCCTCTTTTTCTTTCTTTCTCCATAATACACGGAGAGAATAATTAAAAGATTCGCCTATAAGTGAGTTGAAATTTTTCTATGCCTAAATCTGTTTTAAGGGTAACTCGAACACGATCCCAAACAGACATTCGTTTTCTCCGAATTTCGTCCTTTTCGAGGTGGCAATGAAGCGGCGGCCGTCCGGATTTTTAAATGCGCCTGATGTGCGCCCAACGTGCGACAGCATTTTTGGCCATATCTGGTCCGCATGCATGCAAATTTTTGAAAGCAACAAAAGATATAGCTAAAATGGCAACGGCCATAGTTCATGCCAGCGGCCGCAGTTCACGTCAGTTCATGATGGCCGGCAACTCCAGCGGCCTACAGAATGATCACCCTTCAGTTTCAGCCTTCAAAATGAATGACCATAGTCCACGGCTAAGGTCTCACCTAGTTCAGGCCATCTCCGACGAACATCTCCTCTGGCGGTTCACGAACCAAGCTTCCTCTCCGGTGTCATGTTGTTCTTGTCGACGCTCATGATCGTGAGTGCCATCTCTTTTGCTTTGGGGTCGACATTGGTGACCTCGATCTCAAGCTTCTTTAGTTGAGCGGCCTCCTCAATGTCAAGCTTCCTCTTGGCGCCCTCCTCCATCTCAAGCTTCTTCGTTTGGAGTTCGAGGTATATCTTCATTTGCTCCTCCTCTTCTCCCTCACTTCCTTTTGACTCATCATGTGTTCCAAAGTTGCTTGCAAGGCCATGGAAGACGCATCGCACTTCTCGTCGGCCTTTGAGCTGGTCTTGCCCTCGGTCTCTTGAGAAAGTCTCCCTCCTCAGCCACGGTCGCCTTCCCTCCTTTCTTCTTACGAGCGACATATTGGTCTTTGAACTTGGGGCAATCTTTGATGAGCGACCAACAATGCGTGAGAGTAAATGGCTTGTTCTTGTGTTGAGCCTTGAAGGCTTCCATAGATGTGACCGCAATTATAACATGGAAGAACACAAGATGCACGAAACATAAATGGCATGCCAAGATGAAATGACACAAGATGGAAACACAAGAGGTTCATACCAAGTCACCAACGCCCAGGCCACTCACGGGGCGGGCTTCGACACTCAAGCGCGGCACAATACTTGTTGCACTCTTGTTGAATGAACCCTCATCTCTTTTGAATGAGTTGATGCTGCGGGTGCTCGCAAATTGGTAGGGTGCAAACTTCCTTCACTCATGAAAGGTTTTGTGAACTATCATCCAAAAGACGGATCCTTTTTGCTCGGCACCTTTCATTGGATCTTGGCCTATCTCCATCCAACTCTCGCAAATCAAAGTGTCCTCCTCTTGGGTGTATGATCCTGTGCGAATGCTTTGCCTCTTCTTTTGTGCTTCAGCCCTTTGGGTGTGCTCATCGATAAACAAGGGCTCCTCCGCAATGTCGAACTCTTCTTCCTTATATTCACAATACATGTCATCATCTTCATGCCATGAGTTGCCATGGTCGTCCTCATCTTCATCATGGCCGGTGAATTGGGTGTCACCAATTCACCATAATGTCGCAGCCATCCTGGCTTGTCGCGCCGGGGCCGAAAGCTTGGCCTTGGATGTTGACGTGGAAGGCCTCACCACGACCCTCAAAGATGACGTTCTCCATGAACGCGACGTAGTCAGGGTCATCGACCGTCGGCGTCGGCAGTGGCATTTCATCAAATAGCTTGCAGGTGCCGACCATGTCGGTCGAAGGGATCGACCGAGGCTACTTCCTTTGCGTCCCGTCGGATGGCTAGCCAGCGCCACTGTACCCTGGCATCACGGTGAGGTCGATGACGGCCACGGGCATGGCCGGAGCGACCACGCTGTCGTTCAGCGATGTGGAGAACCGTGTCTGCCCATGGCCATGCAGCGGCGTCGCACAATACCCGGGCGTCTCCGATGTGATGGATGAGCTTGGGAACCGGTACTGCGGAGGACGAACGGCCGACAAGCATGTGCTAGCCGCGACCATGGCAGTGACTGAGAGAATGGTTGGTGGGTGTCGGCACAACCCTAACATGAGGAGGGCATGCACCTTGGCAATGATGGACTCATTGTCGTCGACGTCGGCCTGGTGTTGTGTGGCACGCCACGCGGCCGCCTCGGCGGCATAGTCGGCAATGGCCTTTTTCTCCGCCACCTTTACTTGCTGGTTCCTCATCTTGGTCGATTCGGCATCGAGCTTGGCGAGCTCCACCGGTGTGAGCTCCGACCGCAGCTTCTTGGTAGCCTTCTTCTTCATCGTGGGGCGTGCGGTTGCGGCCGGGTCGCCGGGTTTCGTCGGGGCGCCGGGCATAGAGGAGGGAGGGGAGGGGGGGTGCGAGAGGGTTTTGGGAAAAATGGAGAGAAAGTGGTCGGTGTTGGGGAACATAGTAATTTCAAAAAAATTCCTACGCACACGCAAGATCATGGTGATGCATAGCAACGAGAGGGGAGAGTGTGTCCACGTACCCTCGTAGACCGAAAGCGGAAGCGTTAGCACAACGCGGTTGATGTAGTCATACGTCTTCACGATTCGACCGATCAAGTATCGAACGCATGGCACCTCCGAGTTCTGCACACGTTCAACTCGATGACGTCCCTCGAACTCCGATCCAGCCGAGTGTTGAGGGAGAGTTTCGTCAGCACGACGGCGTGGTGACGATGATGATGTTCTACCAATGCAGGGCTTTGCCTAAGCACCGCTACGATATGATCGAGGTGGATTATGGTGGAGGGGGGCACCGCACACGGCTAAGAGATCAAGAGATCAATTGTTGTATCTTTGGGGTGCCCCCTGCCCCCGTATATAAAGGAGTGGAGGAGGGGTAGGGCCGGCCCTCTCTATGGCGCGCCCTAGGGGAGTCCTACTCCCATCGGGAGTAGGATTCCCCCTTTCCTAGTAGAACTAGGAGCCCTTCCAGGTAGTAGGAGTAGGAGGAAAGGAAAGGGAAGGGAAAAGGAGAAGGAAGGAAGGGGGCGCCCCCCTCCCTAGTCCAATTCGGACCAGCCCATGGGGAGGGGTGCGGCCAACCTTTGAGGCCTTTCTCTCCTTTCCCGTATGGCCCATTAAGGCCCAATACGAATTCCCGTAACTCCCTGGTACTCTCGAAAATATTCGAATCACTCGGAACCTTTCCGATGTCCAAATATAGTCGTCCAATATATCGATCTTTACGTCTCAACCATTTCGAGACTCCTCGTCATGTCCCTGATATCATCCGGGACTCCGAACTCCTTCGGTACATCAAAACACATAAACTCATAATATAACTGTCATCGAACTTTAAGCGTGCGGACCCTACGGGTTCGAGAACTATGTAGACATGACCGAGACACGTCTCCGGTCAATAACCAATAGCGGAACCTGGATGCTCATATTGGCTCCTACATATTCTATGAAGATCTTTATCGGTCAAACCGCATAACAACATACGTTGTTCCCTTTGTCATCGGTATGTTACTTGCCCGAGATTCGATCGTCGGTATCTCAATACCTAGTTCAATCTCGTTACCGGCAAGTCTCTTTACTCGTTTTGTAATACATCATCCCGCAACTAACTCATTAGTTGCAATGCTCGCAAGGCTTAAGTGATGTGCATTACCGAGAGGGCCCAGAGATACCTCTCCGACAATCGGAGTGACAAATCCTAATCTCGAAATACGTCAACCCAACAAGTACCTTCGGAGACACCTGTAGAGCACCTTTATAATCACCCAGTTACGTTGTGACGTTTGGTAGCACACAAAGTGTTCCTCCGGTAAACGGGAGCTGCATAATCTCATAGTCATAGGAACATGTATAAGTCATGAAGAAAGCAATAGCAACGTACTAAATGATCGGGTGCTAAGCTAACGGAATGGGTCATGTCAATCACGTCATTCTCCTAATGATGTGACCCCGTTAATCAAATGACAACTCATGTCTATGGTTAGGAAACATAACCATCTTTGATCAACGAGCTAGTCAAGTAGAGGCATACTAGTGACAATCTGTTTGTCTATGTATTCACACATGTATTATGTTTCCAGTTAATACAATTCTAGCATGAATAATAAATATTTATCATGATATAAGGAAATAAATAATAACTTTATTATTGCCTCTAGGGCATATTTCCTTCAGTCTCCCACTTGCACTAGAGTCAATAATCTAGTTCACATCGCCATGTGATTTAACGTCAATAGTTCACATCACCATGTGATTAACACCCATAGTTCACATCGTCATGTGACCAACACCCAAAGGGTTTACTAGAGTCAATAATCTAGTTCACATCTCTATGTGATTAATACTCAAAGAGTACTAAGGTGTGATCATGTTTTGCTTGTGAGGGAAGTTTAGTCAACGGGTCTGCTACATTCAGATTCGTATGTATTTTGCAAATTTCTATGTCAACAATGCTCTGCACGGAGCTACTCTAGCTAATTGCTCCCACTTTCAATATGTATCCAGATTGAGACTTTGAGTCATCTGGATCAGTGTCAAAACTTGCATCGACGTAACCCTTTACGACGA